TAAAACCAGGTGGCACTGTACAGTGCTGTTTTACTGCTGTAGGTGTGACCGGGCTGAATGGTTTTGACAACGCAACTGTGTTTATTAAAGGATCACACTTCCGCCATGGCACAACTTCATTTTCAAGAGCCCAGAAGTTTGTTCAGAGCGGACAGATGGCCTCAAATCAGCTCCTGCTACAAATGACTACTTGAGTCTTAGGTACAAGGCATGATTCAAACCTGACTGCTGGAGGTGCCAAGAAAAAAAATTATAGCCGCCAGTGTTGCAGTCTGTTGCCCAGCTTATTCCCCAAATCAGACTCTTGCTACTGAGAGTTGACAGCAGGGTTCAGAGATGACAAATGATCAGAAAATAACACAGTCTGTGCAAGTCTTTGGTCTGAACTCTGTCCAAGCTGTCCTGCAGAAGAATCGGCATCGACCCTCTGCAAATGCTGCTCTTTGGTCCCAGAAGATATAGGTCACACACAGTATTTATGATTAATCCTCACCGTTAGAGCATGAATCTTCAGCAAAGGATAATTACTTTAATTAGTTCTCAGTGTGTCATGCTATCTGTGGAGAGACGCTTGCTTACCCTCCTCCCCTGGAGAGCTGATCTCTAAAGGACCTATCTGAAGCAGGTGAGAAGATAGTTGTGTCCCTATGGCACAGTGCAACGCTAAAAGCTGTATGACAGAACCAAGTACGGCCCAGAAAAGGTTAAAATTTGCTGCAGGGCTTGGGCTGAATCTGTGCCAAGGGATGTTTGATACTCAGCTCAGTTTAATGATTCTAAGTTTCTTTCTTGGTTTAATTTAAGCATTTAAGAACTGGCTATTTGCTTTTTGCATTTTGTTACAATACAGCTAATGAATACAACAGCTCATTCCTGACCTTTGCCTAAAAGCTCCCATTGCCCAGGAGGGTCTTCAAAGAAACAAGCCGCCCACCCTTTCCTTGCACTCTCTTATTTCTGTTTGTTAAATTTCCATTTAATTGAGCTTATCTCTGTACACACCTGGTTCCTTACGCATACTTCAGAAATAAACCGAGTTGCACAAATTCTGTACTTTATTTTTCAAGTTTCCTAACAAAATGCAATTCTGTCTTCATCTTGCTGATCACACTGGTCTTCCTTGAAATGAAAGAGCTATTTCTAGCAGTTCTTTACCCAGTTCTTCATGCCTACCTCCGGCGCTGAACTCTGCGGACAGCTCCCTGAAGGTGACACAGATTCGGCGATGCTCTATATGCTTGCGGTAAATTGCGTGTTTCCACTTGTACCGTGCATCACCATACAGCACCACCAGAGACCTTCGGGGTAAGTGAATGGCAACAGTCACTTCTTTACTTGGAACAAGCCTTGGGGATAAAATGCAGTTGATTCCCTCGTTGCCTGAATTTTTGCACGCTGACGTCTGTGTAAAAGATCCAGGGAGACTTAATTCGCTGTTTTCTTTACTGAAAGTGGAAAATAATTGGATACTGTCCTCTGAATCACAAGACATGGATAGCACAGTTTTTGAGAGCAAGTTTAAGCTAACCAGACGCTCTCCCCAAAGCCACCAGTCATCAAAATGTGGGTCGATGGCAGAACCTCTTTCTGGCACGTAGTCCAGATTACATTGTTCAACAGGTAAGAAACCGCCTAGTACAGAGCAGACCTTCATTTGTGCCACAATCTTTTTACTAAAACTTGGCAAACCAGTAAAGCTGCCAGATTTCAACCTTTGTTTCTTAAAGTTCACTTTGGGTCCATAGTCCTGTTGGAAAAGAAAAGAGGGGAAAAGCTAGTGTTAGGGAAAAATCTAGGACAAGTCTTTTTGGAGACGCTGTGATCCCTACAGGGCTCAGAGTCAAGACTTTTGGGTTTTCTTCCTGTCTCTTCCAGTGACCTGGTCACCAGGTTGCAAAAGGACTTAGTGAAGCTACATTAATCTCTCTGGAATTAGATTTGTCACCTGTAAAGTAAAAACAAACCAACACACCCACTTCTTTCACTTGGAGACTCTGTGAACTTTAATGCCTGAACATGCACCATCAGATTCTGTTTGTTGTAACTATCATGTATTTTTGCAAGAAGTTGACTTTAACTACAAGTAATTCTTGCAACTGATTTCAGGAAAAGCTTTCAAAGGAAAACATTTGATGAAACATCTAAATGTTCTGTGTTTTAACTGAAAACGGCTTTCCTTTTCCAGAGGCATCTAAGAACAAATGTGCTGCTTAAGTCAAACCTGTTTCTTTCGGCCAGACTGTGATGGTTTCCAGTCATCTTGATCCATCAGTTCAACTATCTCAGATTCTTCCTCTTCGCTAATGAACTCCTCCATCAGAAACACCCCTGGAAATGGAAATGCCCAGCCAGCAAATTCTGAGTGCTCATTTCCTTTAGCTAGGCCTGTTGCTGGACAGTAAGTGAAATTATCTTCTCCCTGTGGAAATAACAATGGAGAAGAGAAAAGCATTGGGGGGGAAACTTCTCAAGATAAGGTATTTCCATGATTTACCCCTGCAGCCTTGGTGCTGCAGCCTGAAAGCTGTCTGTACAGGATTCCTGTAGACACAAGAAATTTTATAGCTGCTTTTGGGGAACAACTCTGCCCTGCTTTTTTTACAGCTCCAGCGTTACTGTGCTGCTTGCTTGAAGCCGCTTTTCTTTCCGAGTAACATCTTTATCTTGCAAAGACGGGGAAGAACAGACGATCCTCAGTGCCAAATGTATAAGGAGATTAATGGTCGGTATTCCTCAGGCCGGCTGTAGAGATACGGTTTGTCATATCAATAAATGTTGAATGAGGAAAGTTGATAAAAATCGCCAAGGCCAAAAAGCTAAGCTGTAGCGAACCTGGCTTTTCTTAATGGATGAAACTCGGGCAAGGCCTGTCCCGGCCTCTGAGGTGGCTGCGTGCACCTGTAAGGCTACTCGGGCGAAGCCAGGTGGGCTCTTCTCACGAATACCCGGGGGCGGCCACCGGGCCCAGCCCTGGGGGGCTCTGCTTTGTCCCCAGCCGGGGCTC